GCAGGTTGGTTCAAGATTAGTCTGAATATTTAAGTTTAGAATCATTAACAACATGCTACGGGGAATCATTTTCAATACATTGCAGTGAAGATAACTTTATCGTTATAAATTTTGCAGCATTTGGTCATTTTCGTGCTGGAAACAATTGTAGCTCGCAACCAAACGGCGATTGCTGGCTGGATTCTACTTATTTCCTCTCAGCTCTTTGTACTGGGCACCATACTTGCGAATCTAAAGTACAATTCTCTCCCGATCTTTCATCCAAATATTTGAGAAATAAATGTGCCAGAATTATTGCACCTATATCTTCCACTCCCGCCCTTTTTATAAAGTATTCCTGTGTTACCTCTAGTATGTTCCCTTTTTTCTAATTTTTACTTTTATTTTCATTACTTTAAATGAATAATCGTCTTTAGCTCTCCTATCATTCATCCAAGATTCTAAAGGATTAGACAGTGACCATGCAGGTGGTTATTTAGCAACGCATGACTATCACCTCTCTATCAAAACCCCGGAATGGAGGACGGACCTGTCCGAAGTGTACTGCAGTAAATGGAATTTACCGAGTGTTATCTCGATTCCATCCGGTTCTGAACATCTTGGAATTGTTCTCAATCTCAGAGATATCGGTGAACTATATCGACCATTAAGCAGTATGTTGCAGATGTTATACTTGCTCTTGAAATTTAATACTTTTATTAATTTAATTTTTGCATGTCTTGGCTTAAAATGTCCCCTTTGATGTCACATATGAGATTATGCAGCCAACATCATTGTTGCTCTCTCATGGAAGTATTCTTGAGAACTCATGCACTTTAATTTCAGCTGACTCATTCCTGAATAGTTGTATGAAGCCGGCATTCCCATGATCGAATTCTCAATTTTTTCATTCGTCGGTCTTAAATAGATATTACTCTGACTATTAATTCTGAAATATAATGTGTTATTACTTATTTTTCAGATTTTTATTAATAAATTTATTAAAATCCATTGACTAATTATTGAATATTTATTAACGGCAAATCCAGAAAACTCGGTAAGATTTGTTTTCCCCCTCCTCTGCAGGAAGAAGGAATAGATCGCTAATTCCACAACTGAAAAATCAAGGTAACCCTAGCACCTCACTAGATTTCCAAAATTCACTAATGTGCATGGTTAGTGGCAATAGTTTTTGATATTCTTTTTTGGTATCGAGTCACAATTAACAAGAGCTCTCAGACACCAATGTGCGCAAGATTGCTGAGTCCTAGTTTAAGGACATAAAATTCTGAAATCACACTGAGAGCTGGAGAACACACACAGGTCGAAAGCGAAAGAGTGCATCGAACATCAAATTTCGAAATTTCTTCATTTTTTTTCTCTCATGCGTTCTTGAGACCTCAATTTATTTGGTGCAACAGCAGGTTTTGACTCCATTTTCGTAGCAGATGTTAATCAAGTCATATACATTTAACGAGGTAGTGCGAACGCAGGCGTTTCAGAAAAATTTGACTGAGTCAAAAAATCAATAGACGGTTATTGATTATTTTGAAGACACTACTAAATGTTGGTATAAAACAAAAGCATTTTAACGCTAGAGTTTTATTTCGGATGAAATAAATAATTTGCATAAATCCGATATTTAAAATAATCGCTGTTAGAATATGTTTACGGCTTAAAAATCATTACAGTAAAATAGTTAATTGCAATAATGAGTTCTTCAATTCTATTAAACACGCTTTCTGCAAATCAGTTCATTTGCAATAATTGATTGTCTTAGTGGTGTTTAATTTGCTGTTTATTTGCGAAGCCATATCGCTTTAGTAAGTGTTTGAACGAATTAACTAATTTTTGGAAAATACTTTAATTTCTTCTTACGCAAATGAAATAAATATTAATTAAGAATCAAAATTGAGATTTAAGGAATGGAATTTGAAATAGCATTTAAAGTTATTTTAAACACATAGACAGGCTGTCATTTTTCAAGAAGATTAACTTAAATAATTCACAGTTGATCTGTATGAGTGTTTATTTTAAGTTGGTTGGTTTGAGTTTAGCAATTCCACATACGTCGTCCTCTTATTAAGAACACTTTCCCTAAAACCCTAAGAACAAGTCTTTCGGTATGGTGATTTTAAAAGATTGAGCTTTAAGTGAATTGAATATTTCGTTTTAAATTTACCCATTCAAAATGTTTGTTGCTTGTTAGGCGGTTAATTTATTTTCAATTGTTCGATCTTGAATCAACGTCGATTAAATCTAATATTTTGTTTGTAACCAGACTAAACAATGCACGATTTATTTACAAAGAATCGTTTCGAGATGACAAGATGGAAAAGCGATCAGTTTTAAAGAGGATGGGACCATGGCAGTGGAAGTGGGAGTCACCTGAACTCCGTAAACATAGAATTGTTTGTTCTCATTCCATTTTCTGTTTCGTAAGGTTATATCGATTTGAAGGAAGTAGGAGGTACGTATGAAAATAATCTACTGAACAGTTCCTCCAACCTCTGAATGAATCAAATTTAACACTGTTTCTTTCTGGTCAAATTCTTTAAAAGCCAAATTATTGCCAGATTATTCGTTAGGTAGTTTGGCTTACTTACTAATTTGATGAAGGTGCTACAACAGAACATGGCAGAAAATTTTCACCATTTGTTATTGTTGGAGATCAACTAAAAACTAAATAATTAAGGAAGGTTGAATGGATGATAAATTGGAGGGTTCAAGAATGCAATGAGAGTAAAGTTAAGATACAAATGGGTCAGGCTTTGTTTGAGTTCGGAATTAGGCTGATACGCGGTTTATTAAAGGGGTTTTCATGCTCTAAAATTCGAATTTTATGAACAGTGACCTGGATTACTGAGCAAGTACTTCGTGAATCGATTTCTAAATATATTTTTCTTGGTATTTTTTTATTAGAAAGTAATTTCATCTCCTTCTAGCTTGTCATTTATCCCAATTCTCTCACTTAACCCATTGACAATAGTAATTTTTAAAATTATAAGATACTGCATCTTATTAAACCATTTGAACTATTGATATTTAAAACAGACAGTTAAATAAGTCATAGGAGACAATTTGAAAAAATGGACATTAGATTTCGTTAATTTTTGGTTTCTTAACCAAATGTTCCTTCCTCCTACATTAGTTGATCTATTCATACAAGGCATAATCACTACTCTATGACTATTGTAGTCAATGGCGTTTAATTTGAGCAAAATGTAAGTGCCAGCTTTGAGATACCGTTCAGTTTCGAGTTTTGCTTTCTCTTGAATTCAAACACTAACAAATTTTATCAGAACATATTTGTATGGCACTACTTGGCTATTAGTCTGTCTTTCAATTCTAGTATTAGCCAGCATTGATAAGTTCTATTTCTTTGCAGACTGGCTGGAGAAAGTAATAATCGTCAGTAAATCATTATAAACTCCCTATTGCATGTTTGCTCGAAATGACGAGCTAACTGACTCTAACCGACCTTAAAATGAGTATATCTAATGGTTTTAAGCCTCAGGCACAATCGATGTTTGGGTTTCCGGTTTATGAAAACGGTTTGTGGGTGAAAAGTTTTGGTTCTTATAATGACATGAATACAGAGCTTAGAAAATTTTCTACCTTATGACGAATGAATTGGTCAAATTGCCAATGAGTACAGTTGGCATAATCGTTTTGATCATTTGAACTCGGCAGTGATTCTTCCAGTGTCGAAGTTATATACCTACATTTTAGTGCAACAAGTAATGCAAATATCTAAAATATATGCATGAAAAGAACATTTGTATTTCCATGTGTAGGCTGGCGTCAGTCGAGCTTTATCTTATACCAAGTCGTCGGAATTCAATATCGTAAAATTGTAACCAACACGCTACTTTATTTACTCAGCGGTTCTCTAAGTCTAGTTTAAAGATGTTAAATTCAGACCAATTCAATGTGAGAGTGTCCTTTCCTTGAGATTTATCGTCACAAAACGTCGTTGAGGTCTATTCTTTGGCAATCATTTAACTCTCAATTTTTCGATATTGAATCGATATCAATTAACTTCCAATATCTTGTCCATAACCAAACTAAACAATGCACGATATAATCACAGAGATTTAAAGAATAAGCAGTTTTTAAGAGGATGGGACCATGGTAACGTTTAAGGATATCAAATGCAGACAGATTCAATGTGAGAGTGCCCTTTCCTTGAGATCAATCATCACAAAACATCGTTAACTGAGGAGTTAATAAAGACTAAAATTATTCCAATTATTAATTTTATGTAGTAATAAATGTCAAAAGTCAGTCTAGAGCACCATTGACAAGTAATTTCTGAAATATGACATTTTATATAAAATGTAACCTTGGTCGTTGGTATTTAATCAGAGATTCTCAGTGGACGGTATTGATTCAGAAAGCCAAAGGACAATAATTGTGCTCTTATTGAAATATGGATTTTTTTGAGGATAAATGTATTCTTTACTATCGTGTTAAGGCATCGGCATTCACCATAGAAAAGTAGGAGTTTTATTTTGTAACTTTATATGTTGTAGTTTGTCCAGGGATATGCACTTTCAGGTGTTTAAGGTGTGTAACTGTAAGTATGAATACCCAAATGAAAAGGATTGAACTCTAAATACATTTAAATCGGTTCAACTTACAAATCCCAGTAAGTTAATTTGGTTTGAAATTTCAGTAAAATGAAGTGGAAGTATTCCTTAATTTGACTTAAGAAAATTTTATTTATTAGTATCTGTTGCACAAAATATCAGAGTTGATTGTGTGCGTGATATCTTAATTTTATAGAAATGACTTGCATGGTCGAATGCGATCAAATTACACACTGTAATTAGTCACTCCACAACCTCCTTTTCACTCAATTAGGACTTCACTCGAGGTAAAATGGTTGATTTGCAGGCTGCCAAGTTGGCAAAGATGTCTGAACTTCTAACCCGACAAAACGAGAGAGTATGAGTAAGAATACTGACTACACTGACTTGATTTACACTAATAAACTGTTACAAGTTTAATAGAGAAAATGTATTGTGTCAAATCTATTTTTTTTCTTAATCACACTACACCCACTACTATGCCCTCGGTTCTAAGTATTTGGAACATCTCAATTTCTCAGTGTTGACGAGAATAAACCGAATGACAGACGAAAGTTGTGAGAAATCTTGACGTAGACTAAGGCAAGCTAAGTAGGATCAGCTCTCCCTGATTGCTGGACATCTAAACAAGGTAAATCTGTTGATTATCTAGGTAATTATATTGAATGGGGGGGGGGGGGGTTGGAAGGATCGAAGATCATCGGATTCATGGAAGAAGTGAAAACACTGTGTGTCCAAGAGCTTCACGTCATCTAAATCTAGATTCAAGAAGTTCATTATTTTTGTTAAATCAGGATTTAACATTCCTGATGCAGTTCCAAAGTCCCTCATTGAGCTAGAGTTTGTATGTTCGAAGTGCTCAGGTCTGAACAATAACTTTAGTTCAATATGCTCAATTACTGTTTCCTAAAATAACTCAATAATTCGCAGTTAATGCCACCTAAAGTCTTCAATTTTGACATAACCTCATCTCAAAACCAATTTGAAGGTTGTACAATTATATTATTAGTTTTACCTCCTATTTTTTATACGAATTTAATTTTCTAGCCCATTTTTAGCCCCTTTAATTTTGATTAAACCCCTAATGAATTTGCATTGGAATAAGTTTGATAATGTGTATATGGTGTCAATATATGAATGGATTTACCATCTTTTCATCAAGTATTCCAAA